GAGGAGGAGGAGGAGGAGGAGGAGGAGGAGGAGAGGATCGCGCCGCATCACCGATGCATCGACGATGCGGCTCGATGTGGAGCCCGTGTTTTTCCCCGCGCCGCCGTCGCCAATGCATCGCCCACGTCGCCGATGCATCATCTAGGAGGCCTTCAGGAGGCCTCCATCTAGGAGGCCTTCAGGAGGCCTTCAGGAGGCCTCCGTCCGACTCCATCTAGGAGGCCTTCAGGAGGCCTCCATCTAGGAAGAGATTTGGGAGCACGATTTGGGCCAGGTCCATTCAATCGGGGGAAGAAGGATGGCATAAACATGACCACCTATCGGAGGCCCGGGCGGATTCCTAGAGTCGGCGCTGGACCCCCCCCTTGACGCCGGATGCGCCGCCGGGGGACTCCGGCGCCGGGGTCCGCGCGGAGCCGCGAAAGTTTCCGTGGGCCTGCCATTCTTAAGGCCCGGCCGCGCGCGCATCGGATTTGACCTTTTCGCCGCCTCGACGCTGCGCGCGAGGCCGCGGCCGCCAATAAGATGTATGCCACTGCTTGTCGGGCGGGGCTAGGACGAGGACGCATCCGTTCCAGAGCGTTCCGGAACGGTCTCAGGGAGAACGCTCTGAGAAGGCCGCGGCGCCCGAGACATCCTCCCAAACCGCCAGATCCGAGTCAACGCGGGGAAAGAACCACCCGGACCCGATAACAACTGGCGTTTATTGAACGGCCCTGGGCGTTTACTTAACAGCCCTGCCCTATTCGATCCCTTCTGTGGGTGCATGTATTAAACGGGTTCGCATGTCGGGGTGATGGTTCTGAGGGTGGCTTTCCTGCTCTGTACTTTCAGATGTTCGATCTATCCTCGCCCGATGTTGTCGTAGTCATGGCTCCGGCTTCGTTCGCCCCTCGATCCTGGCAGCACCCGGCCCGCGTCGACGATGCATCGCTGATGCATGGGCGATGCGGCGCGATCCTTCGACCCCGTGTATTCGAATTCCCCCTTTGGGAGGCCTCCAAGCTATCCTCACCCGACTTTATCCTCGTCCTGGCTCCGGCTGCAGTTCGCCCCTCGATCCTGGCCTTAGGTCGGGCGTGCCCCCCTACAGGCAGATGTTGGACGGAAACTGGAAAGTAGCAAGACATACACCACACATTTGCAGAAATAGTCAGAAGCTCGGCTCCTGAGCATCTGTTTTGGCAATTTTTTACTATCCCTCCTGTGAAGGGACACGCCCAACTGCATCCTGGCAGCACCCGGCCCGTGCCGAGGTGTCTCTGGGCGACGCGGAGCTGGGCGAGCGGCACCTCGCCGGCCGCGGCTCCGACGCGTCCTGGGGCGGCGCCGGGCCCGCGGGGCCCAGCGGGTGCGCGCCGCCCCCCCGGCCGCCCCTGGGCCAGAGCCCTCCACGAGAAAAGCAAGAGGAGGTTTTACAGGAGGAAGGAGAGGAGGAGGAGGAGGAGGAGGAGGAGGAGGAGGAGGAGGAGGAGGGCTGCACGGTGTCGGCAGGGCTCGTGTCGGCTCCTCCGGTCGACCGACAACCAAACGACGACACCACACCACCTACGGCCTTCCATTCTGCGCTACGGCCCATCGGGCGCCTTAGCGTATACCACGCAATAACCCACAACAGATTTCCTGGTATACGCTAAGGCCTCTGGTGCCGTAGGTGGGGTGGTGTCGTTTGTTTTCTGGTCCATCTGGTTCGGTTCGCTTCGGCTTCGATGGCCTCCGTTTCCGATTCGGGGCGACTCGGGATTCGGATTGGGGTTCCAATTTCTCCCTGGAGGCCTACTGGTAAGTCGGGCGTGTCCCTCTGCAGAAGGAATATTCAAACATAAACAAAAAATAATGAGTGAACGTTTTTTTTGACTATTTTTGCGTCTTTGTTGAATCTGTTTTGACTATTTCTTATTTGTCGTCCACAGTCCGCCTGTAGGGCGACCCGCCCGAACTAAGCCTACTGGCCTGCCGCTTTCCGCCGAGCCGGCTCGTCGATTCGATTCTGGGCTCTCCTGGCTTGAGCTTGCCGAGCGCGCCCCGCTGCTCGCAAAGTGCCTGCTCGCCGGGGAGAACACCTGTTTGCCTCGCTGTACTATATCGTGAAGACCCCGCGGCGGATCCAGGCGATCTACGAGCAGTTACTTTGCGAGCAGTGGAACTCGCTTGCCTACGAACGACGAAGGCCGACGGGCTTGTGAGTTGCGCGCGTTCTTGGCTTCGTTCCTTCAGATCTTGGTCCACGGCCCCTTGGCAGCGTGATCTCAGAGCGTGAATTACCTACCCCGCTTTCGCTTCCAGGCAGAACCAAGTCATACCACGCGCCTCCTCATCAAGCGGCCTGACCAGTACAGGCCGTAGTTTGGCATCGCTTGGTATCTCTTGGAAGCGAGGGTGGGCAAAAGCGCGGTAGGTTTGTTTGCCCCTTATGCTCGGCATAATCACAGGCGCAGTCTGGGCCAGAGCCACCCAACACAGGCACCGCGCTGCGCCGAGGAACTGCACACTTCCGAAGCGGGTCCTCGCACGAGGGTTGAGACACTCAGCGAAGACGAAGCTGCGCTTCACTTTCTTACCCGCAGATCTCTTCGCGTGTTCTGTTGGGCGTAAGCTCGCGCGTCGGTGCCCTCGTCTCCAGTGTGGCGTGCCGCGCTGGCGGCCCGCGTGGGCCGCGGCGGAGGTCGCCGCGCCACCCAGCGTAGAACGCCTTTCTCTTTGCCGCCCACTCTGCATCCCCTGGGGGAAAGCGGTATAGAACGTCCCAGTTTCGCTACGGACTATACAGTCAACGCGCATAGTATGGACAAACGACTTTTTCAAGGGTACCCTTGGGTCCTTGCCTGCCTCGGCCTCTGCGACCCGTCCCTAGCAATTTTCGCAGGCTAGAATATTTCAACTTCGGCCTCCAAGGGTCTTGCGTCCTTACCACGCGTCCTTACTTTACGTTTTCACTGTATAGTTTCCCCCCAGACGACCACGACTTTCCCGAGGCCCTCAGAAAAAAAAGCCTCCCTGAATCTTGCCCGGAGGGTTGTCGGATGCTTCTGGGAGGATTGCGGCCACTGTTGAAAGAAGCCAGTCCCTAGCGAAACTTGAAGATTCTCTTTCTAGGCCTCGCAGATCGGGTCCGAGCAGATGGGGCCGGGGGGTCGCGCCGCATCGTCAGTGCATCGGCGATGCATCGGGGAATGGCTGATTTCCAGACGGCGCAGGCGCGAGTCGTGATGTGGCCAGGGAGGGGGAGGAGAAGGAGGAGGAGGAGGGGAGTGGGCGGGGCTGGCAACGGGCGTGATCGCGAATTATTTGAAGGTGTGTGTTTGTGTTGCTTCTGCGGAGGACGAACAGATGCCCACACCGCTGCTGCAGCTGCTCGTCCCGGAGATCCCTCGTCGCCACGGCTGCACTCTCCTCGAAGCTCGAGTCAGAACGCACCCCGGCAGAGGCCCGGGCATCAGCGGCGTTCGAGGCCCCCAGACCAGTGTGTCTGGACGCCCGAAATGGGTACGGAAAGAATGGGCACAGTGCCCAACAGCAGTTCCTGTTCCTTGTGAACAGGATTCGCTGTCCACGCCGCCGCGGCCTGTGTCCATTCGAGACAGAAGGCCGCCTGCCCAACAGCGGCCGCTGCTGGTTTGGGACAACATGTGTTGTTGTGCACTGTACCCTGGAGCCCCCCGGGGACCAAAGTGTGGCGACCCCGGAGCCCCCCGGGGACCTCGCGCGCGGTGCGTTGCCCTCGCGCCCGTGGGGCCTCCGTGGAGGCCCCCCGCCGCCCGAGAGGGAGGAGTCCGCAGAAGGGTCCGAGCCCTGCAGGCTGCGCGAGCGGACCCGCAGCGTGGTGCCCTGAGATCCTGGCGTTGCATTTGTTTTTGGCAACGGGCGTTTCCGCTCGATTTCGGGCCCGGGCCCCGGGACCCTTGCAGCTCGAGCGGCTTCGAGAAATCACGCCGAAAGATGAGGTCCGGGACTCCAGACGTGATTTTTGCGATGTTGCAATTTTTTTGCAACGTCGGATCTCGGGGTGGTCACCGCGCGGCGGGGTCACCGCAACGCTCCGGGGCATCCCCGCGGTATGGGCGCCTGTGTGTTCCGGGGCGGCCTAGGGGCCTCCTGGAGCATCCTGGAAGCCATCGTGAGCGATCCTGCGCAATCTCTCAAGGGCAGAAAATAACGCCCCTACCCTGGGTTACGAGGCGCTGTGCTCTGAAACTCCTGTGGGCTGACAAGGTAAACCCTGAGTGATGTGCCGCGTCCTGGCGGCTCTAGGCTTTGGGGGTTCCCAGGAGGTTTACAGACCACGCACTTGTCATCCAGGGTAGGGCCGTTTTTTCATCCCTCAAATCTCGAGCCATCTTGGAGGCCGTCAAGGGTTCTCCGAGGCGCTCCTGGAGCCGCCCTTGGCCAGCCTGTGCGCTCCAACCCCTGGCGACCACCCCCGTCGAGGTCCGGGGGAGGGGGTGGAGGGGGGAGGGATGAACCCCTCCCCGAAGGGGAAGAGCGGGCCTCGTTGGCCTCGGCTCGGGCCGCCGCGGCCGTGCAGCGACAACGGCCCAGGGCTCGCCCGCGCCTCGCCATGCAGCAGATCAGGGGCAGCGTTGGGGTTCAGTCGGGCGTCTCCCTCTACGGGGGGAGAATGCAAAAACAGTCAAACATAGTCTGGGACGTTTTTATTAGTACCTATACGACCACCCTTCGGGTGATGAGGAGGTTCGGGGGCGGGGAGGAGCCAACGTCTCATTCGATCGGTCTCACTATCGATCTCACTATCGATCTCACTATCGGTCTCGCTCGATCGATCTCACTTGATCGATCTCACAATCGATTTCACATCTGGTCTCTCTATCGATCTCACTATCGATATCACAATCGATCTCACATTCAACGTCATCATCAGCAACATCAACGTCATCAACATCATCATCATCACTATCATAAACATCATCACCATCGGGACACCATCATCATCATGATCACCTCATCACCATCATCAGCAACATCAGCATCATAATCATCACCAGCATCATCATCATCGGGACATCATCATCGTCATCATCATCAACATCATCATCATAAATATCATCTTCATCATGATCATCCTCATCATCATCATCATCATCATCATCATCATCATCGGGACACCATCATCATCATCAACATCATCAACAGCATCATCATTAACCTCATCAGCATCATCATCACCATCGGGACACCATCATCATCATGATCACCTCATCACCATCATCAGCAACATCAGCATCATAATCATCACCAGCATCAACATCATCATCATTTATCATCTGGACATCATCATCGTCATCATCATCAACAACATCATCATCATCATAAATATCATCACCATCATCATCATCATCATCATCATCATCGGGACACCATCATCACCGTCATCATCATCATCATCAACAGCATCATCATTAACCTCATCAGCATCATCATCCTCGGGACACCATCATCATCATCATCGTCATCATCATAATCTTCATCCGCATCATCATCTTATCATCATCTCAGCATCATCATCAGGATCATCAACATCATCATTATCATCATTGGGACACCACAATCATAATCAGCAACATCATCATCGACATCATCATAGGGGTACCATCATCATCACTACCATCACCATCATCATCATCATCATCAACATTGCCAAACCATCATCACCATCATCATCATCGTCATCATCATTGTCATCATCATCACCATCATCATCACCATCATCATCATCATCACCATCATCATCATCATCATCATCATCATCGTCGTCATCATCATCATCATCACCGTCATCATCGGGACACCGACGGGACACCGGCGGGACACCGGCGGGACACCGCGCGCCACTGGCTGCCAGAAGGGAATCATTTGGTCCGGCCGCGCCTCAGCCACAGCGGGACACCGGCGGGACACCGCGCGCCACCAGTTGCCGGAAGGGAATCATTTGGTCCGGCCGCGCCTCAGCCACAGGAGACTTTCTTCTCGCCCGCCCACTCAGCTTCGCCTCGCCCGCACGCACGGCACGCACGAACACGAAACCGAAACCGATTTCCCAGTGTAGGTGGGCTCTGCGTGCCACTTCGATCTCACCCCCTCACCTCCGGTGCTTGGCTATGTTTGAGAGTAGAGTTTGGGTATTTCTTTATTTGTCGTCCAATATCCGCCTGTAGGGGGACATGCCCGACATAACGTCAGAGTTCAGTCGGGCGTGCCCCTCTGCAGTGGGAATGCTCTCAAACAACGGTCCAAAAATAGTCAGGGGACTATTATTTCGAATACTATGTTGGACTACTCGGTTATGTTTTGCGACAGTGTGCTTATTTTTCGTCCAACATCCGCCTGTAGGATGGCATGCCCGACCTAAGGACAGCGTGAGGAGTAGTTCGCGAAGACCAATTTCTGTCCACATCCACCTCTGGATCGTCGATTCTATGATAGGCCCTCGGGGGTGGAAGTGGGTAGTTGTTCCTTCCCCTGGGGCGGGGAAACTGCCCACCTCCACCTCTGGAAACCGCTTCTCGCAAGGCACCTCGGGAAGTGGGTGTGGTCAGACATCGGTCTCCTAAGTTTGAGGTTTTCGAGGTTTTCGGACACGTTCGCTGCTGTTTCTCGGCGGCTGCTCCGGCCTCGGGGTGCCTTCCAGCGGCCGCTCGCTGCTCCTCGCCGAGAGCGTGTCTGGGGGGGTCCTGGGTCCGTCCTGGGCGGCCGCCAGAGGCCGAAGTTCTGAGCCGAAAACCTCCAGGCGTCAGGAGGAGGAGGAGGAGGAGGAGGAGGAGGGGGGGGAGGAGGAGGGGGTGGAGGAGGGGGAGGAGGAGGGGGAGGAGGAGGAGGAGGAGGAGGAGGAGGAGGAGAAGAAAGAGGAGGAGGAGGAGGAGGAGGAGCTCCAGGCGTCAGATGAAGAGTCACCGCTGAGTGGTGAAGAAAATGTCATGGTCCTCGCGCCGAGCAGCCATGCGTTCACCAGCAGTCTCATCGAGCAGCTGGGCAGCGCTTCTCTGGAGGATCTGCGTGCTTTCTGGCCTTTCAGCACACCACCGCGACAGGCAGTGCATCCAAGGCAGCCCTTCTGCAGGGTGGCATCGGATCGGTCCTGCCTTCGCTTGCAGTGTCATCTCAGGTGAGCGTAGTCTGGAAAGTCGTTGCGCCCTTCGTCACGGATGTCTCGGGCTCCTTGGTGGCCACGAAGCAGCAAGTCCAACGGACAGGAGCCACGCACGGGTCCTAAGTACTGCCTTCCTGGAAGGAAGGAGTGTAATTGCCCAGTCGGCAGTCGCAATCTCCGCCGTTCTTGCGGCTCAGATGTTCGTGGCCGCGGATGCCGCCCTGCTCGGTGGGTTGAGGCCTCTTCTGCACTCGAGGCAGGCCCAGAGCTGCTCCGATTGGCCCGCTGCTGGCACCACGTCGTCGCACCATGTGAACACAGTGTGCGCGTCCCTCCTCCCTGCCTCGCCCCATGACTCGGCGGTGTTGGGCACGACAGCTTCCATGTGCGACCCTCTTGGGATTCACTTCGCATGGACCGCCTCGTGCAGCCGGCTGTGCTTGTGATGACAAGGGCGGCCAGTGGTAGGAGGTCCTGGCAGCTTGGGGCACGACAGGCCAGGTCTCAAACGAGGCGCGCCCATCTTGCCACTGCCACTTAATATTCTGCATGCGGCACGTTCGCACATGAGACGAGCAGGAGCAGGATGTGTATTAATGGTCGGTCGTAGGACGAGGACGAGCGAGCAAGGGGAGGGGGAGGCCTACGATCGTGCCTCGTGTCTGGGAGGAGGATACGCGGATGATAAGGTGGAGCCATGGGATCAGTTTGTGTATCAGGATTGCCCTGGAGGTCCCCAGTCGGTTCCGTGTGCCTGATCTAATGCGGGCTTTTCTGGCTTCGCAGAGATTTCAGGGTTCGACGAGCACAAGGGAAAGCATGATGAGGAGGATTCACGTCCACGAGGATGATGACAATTTCGCACAATTTCATGGTGATGGTGGTGATGATGATTGTAGAATGCGGCGACTATGATGATCATGTTGATGATAATGGCGATGACGATGCTTATTACGATGATGATGTTGTTGATGATGATGGTGACGATGATGATGATGGTGATGATGACGGTAATGATGATGACGATGATGATTATTATGATGATGATACTGCTGATACTGCTGATGATGATGATCATCATCATGATCATGATGGTGACGGTGATGGTGACGATGACGATGACGATGCTGATGTTGTTAGCGATGGTTTCATGTATGGGGATGCTTGTGAGGATGCTGATGATGGTGCGTGTGATGATGATGCTGATGATGATGATGATTGTGATGTTTATGATGTTTGTGGTGGTGTTGATGCTGCTGTTGATTATGATGCTGACGATGATGACGTTAATCATGTTTCTAATGATGATGATGCTGCTGGTGATGATATTGTTGATGACGATGACGATGACTACGACGATGACGATGATGATACTGATGATGGCGATGCTGATGATGATGCTGTTGATGCTGCTGTTGAATGTGATGGCGATCATGATGATGCGGATGAAACAATAATACGATGGTGATGATGATGATGTTGCTGCTGATGATGATGCTGATGTTGATGATGATGCTGCAGCCGATGACGATGATGCTGCTGATGATGATTGTGGTGATGATGCTGATGATGGTGGTTCTGATGATGTTGATGATGATGACGCTGATGATGTTGATGATGATGATGCTGATGCTGATGTTGATGCTGATGAGGTTGATGCTGATGATGATGAAGATGATGATGATGATGATGATGATGATGATGATGATGATGAGAATGATGATGATGATGATGCTGATGCTGATGATGATGCTGATGCTGCTGCTGATGCTGATGATGATGATGATAATGATGATGATGATGATGATGAGAATGATGATGATGATGATGATGATGATGATGATGATGATGATGATGATGATGATGATGATGATGATGATGATGCTGCTACTGCTAATGTTCATGCTGATGCTGATGACGACGATGACGATGCTAATGTTGATGACGATGGTGGTGATGATGATGGTGGTGGTTGAGGATGAGAAGGAGGACGAGTAGGAGGAGACGCAGGAGGGTTCAGCAGAAAGGGAACACCAATTATTCGTAAGATGGCGGAGGAGGAGGAGGAGGAGGAGGAGGAGGAGGAGGAAGAGGCCGCTTTGGCTGCCCCCTCCCTCCCCGCGGCGGCCTCCCCCTCCGGGCGCCGCCAGGGGCGCCTCCCACCTCCGCGGCCGTTTCGTGCGGCACGACGCAGCGCAGGACACCATCGAGGCGGCCGCCCCCCGTGCAGCGGGCGGGGAGGAGGGAGGAGGAATAGGAGGGAGGAGGAGGAGGAGGAGGAGGAGGAGGAGGAGGAGGAGGAGGAGGAGGAGGAGGAGGAGGAGGAGGAGGAGGAGGAGGAGGAGGAGGAGGAGGAGGAGGGAGGAGGGGAGGGGAGGAGGGAGGAGGAGGAGGAGGGGAGGAGGAGGAGGAGCAAGAGCAAGAGCAAGAGCAAGAGCAAGAGGAGGAGGAGCAGAGGAGAGGAGGGAGGGAGGAGGGGGAGGAGGGAGGAGGGAGGAGGGAGGAGGGAGGAGGGAGGAGGAGGGAGGAGAACGAGGACGAGGACGAGGAGGAGGAGGAGGAGTAGGAGCAGGAGGAGGAGCAAGAGGAGGAGGAGGAGGACCAGGAGGAGGAGCAGGAGGAGGGAGGAGGGAGGAGAAGGAGGAGAAGGAGGAGGAGGAGGAGGAGGACGGAAGAGTTAGGAGGAGAGATCCTACGCTCCAAAACATGGGAGCGGTGGGATGTTTGCAGTCTTATGCCGCCTGGGGCCCTCGCCGGGCCTTGGGAGCGTAAAAAAAAACGACGCAGGACGGGTAGCCAGCCCCTGGGGAGGTGGTGTGGACCTCTGGGGCCCACGCCTCGGAAGAATTGGAGCGGCCCCATGTCTGGGGAGCTGTGAACAGTTGTTTGTTCCGCCGCGGCGCGGCAGAGACAAGCCGCACGCGCGCTCAGGTGGCCCCGGGCGGAGCGTACTCCTTGTCCGGCAGCAGGAGAGGGGGGGGGGGGGGGGGCAGAATGGCGGCCGCAGAGGGCGGCCGCGAGGAAGGAAGGGCACTCGCCGCGCAGAGGGCTGGGGCAGGAGCGGCTGGTGCGGCCGGCCAGTGCTGAGGCGTCCTGGCAGGGAGCTCTGCACACGCGGGGCGCTCTCGAAGGGGCCTCGCCGCCGAGAGTCCGCTTCGACCCGATCGGTCCGAATCCGCTGTCGACTCCGAATTCGGATGCGACTCGATTCCGATGTTCTGACGGTGCGGAGCGGCCCAATGCTTGCCTGGCGCTGTTGCGCATCCTGGCGCAGCCGGTCCGATTCGATGTCGATTCCGCGCCGATGCAGCCCGATACAGTGCACATTTCGATTCGATCCGATGTGCCGATTCGATGCGGATTGGTCTTGCCCTCGGGACATTGACATCTCTGGCCCTGCGGAAGAGGGCGGCGGCAGTGGAGCAAAGGCGCCTTCGGCGGCGGAGGGCCAGCGAAAGGCATCGTCGCCGCGAGAGGCAAAGCTTCTTAGCTGCAGGGTTTGTGGAACTCCCCGCGTACTTGCGCTTGTTCTGGTTGGATCCAGTCATTGTTGGACCCAGTAGTTGTCTATATGATGATGATGATGATGATGATGATGATGATGATGATGATGATGATGATGGTGATGATGATGATGATGATGATGATGATGATGATGATGATGGTGGTGGTGGTGGTGGTGGTGGTGGTGGTGGTGATGATGATGATGATGATCATGATGATGATGCTGATGATGATGATGATGATGATGGTGATGGTGATGGTGATGGTGATGGTGATGGTGATGGTGATGTTGATGATGCTGATGCTGATGCTGATGCTGATGCTGATGCAGATGCTGCTGCTGCTGCTGATGATGATGATGAGGATGAGGATGAGGATGATGATGATGATGATGATGATGATGGTGATGGTGATGGTGATGATGATGATGCTGATGCTGATGATGATGATGATGATGATTATGCTGTTGCTGATGATGATGATGATGATGATGATGATGATGATGATGATGATGATGATGAGGATCAGGTGCCACGTTAGTTTGGGGGATAGGTGCTGGGGGGATGGCAATGGCCCGACCCCCAATCGGCCCCAGGGCCGCCGACATGGGGCCCGACGGCCCGCCCCGCTCAGGAGCGTGCGGCTCCGACATCGGGGGCCGGTCGCCGATCGGTTGGCGCTGTATCGCCGATTCCAGCTCAATGTTTTCTCCCTGAGATCGGCGTCACCCCAACGTACTTTTACTATGTGTGCGTCGCCCCCCCCCAGGGGCGACGCGCACACCGAGAAATCTCATAGTATATGCGCCGTGGTGGGCGCTCTCTGGCCACACCGCTCGGGAAACGATACACTGCAAGATGGGTATACTATATGTTCGGGTCGGACGCGCGCCACCAAGGTGGACATATAGTACTAGTACGCCTATGCGCGTCCCATGAGATGGTCCCCACCTAACGTTCCACCCCTTGGTTCATGAGCTCCTGGGCCCAGGTTAGGCCTTGCCAGGATCGGCGTACGTGCACAGCTCCATCTCCACTGCCTGCTCGTCCACACGACTCCCACTCAGTTGTTTGCTGTAAAGGTTTGGCTTTCTCGGCTCCCAGCAGTGCGAGAGTGTCCTCTTGCCCTGCTCCTGCCTTTGCTTTGCGTTCTCTCCCCTCTGGGGCTCAAGCCTTTCTGGGCCAAGCTTGGGGTTGGCCCGAGGCTAGGCACTCCGGAGGCACACTTCAGAGGCTCACAAGACTCCGGGGACCCCAGGAGCCTGTTTTTTCTGATTCCGGCAAGTTTCTTTGCATGGACGGGGGGGGCATGAGCCTGAAGCAAGCCGCAAAAGACTTGACAAGCGGAAAACCACGCAAGTGGAAAAGGCACTTGCACGCCAGTGTTCGTTTGAAGAGGGGCGAGGGGGGGGGGCGGGGAGGGCGAACGCCATGCAAGTGAGGTGGCCCGAGTTCTTTTAGAAGTAACCAAACAAAGCAGGAAGCTGGCTCCTGGGCCAAGCATCCCGGGGGGGCCACACTGGGAGCCAGGGAGATCCAGGTTCCGGGCGGCGCGCGCACGCGCGGTTGGGCCGTGACGCCGCGCTGGGGCTCCCCATATGGCCTGGGGGCGGCGGCGCTGTCGTCACCAGCCGAATCCGCGACGAGCAGGTCATCATCATCATCATCATCATCATCATCATCATCATCATCATCATCATAATCGTAATCGTAATCAGAATCAGAATCGTCATCGTCATCATCAGCATAAGCATAAGCATCGTCATCGTCATCGTCACCGTCGTCATCATCATCATCATCATCATCATCATCGTCGTCGTCATTACCATCATCTTCATCTTCGTGATCGTCTTCATCATCGTCATTATCACGACCGCCATCATCACCATCATCGTCCTCATCGTCGCCGTCATCATCACAATCACTGCTCAAACGTTTCGTGGCCCCAGCGGGAGCTCCACCGAAGGCCCAAGCGACACCGTCCACATGCGCTCGCCACACCCATGTCGGTACACCTCTCACATTTTTTCGTGGCCCAATGGTGAGCTCCACCCAAGGCTCTTGTGCCACCGTCCACATGCGTCCGCCACACCGATGTCGGCACCCTCACGTTTCGTGGCCCCGCAGGGAGCTCCACCGAAGGCCCCATTGCCACCATCCACATGCGTCCGCCACACCGATGTCGGCACACCCGTCATAAGTTTCGTGGCCCCAGAGGGAGCTCCACCGAAGGCCCCAGTGGCACCGTCCACATGCGTTCGCCACACCCATTCCGGGACACCCCTCACACGTTTCATGGCCCCATAGGGAGATCCATCAAAGGCCCCAGTGGCACCGTCCACATGCGTTCGCCACACCCATGCTGGTACACCCCTCACACTTTTCGCTGCCCCGCAGGGAGCTCCACCGAAGGCCCCAGTGGCACCGTCCACATGCGTCCGCCACATCCATGTGTGGACATCCCTCACACTTCGTGGCCCCATGGGAAGCTCCACCGAAGGCCCCAGTGCCACCATGCACATGCGTCCGCCACACCAATTTCGGCACACCCCTTACACGTTCCGTGGCCCCACAGGGAGCTCCACCGAAGGCCCCAGTGCCACAGTCCACATGCGTCCGCACCCTTTACGGCACACCCGTCACACGATTCGTGGTCCCGTAGGGAGCTCCACCCACGCCCCAGTGGCACCGTCCACGTGCGTTAGCTTCATTCTGGACACCCCTCACACGTTTCGTGGCCCCATAGGGAGCTCCACCGAAGGCCCAAGCGACACCGTCCACATGCGCTCGCCACACCCATGTCGGTACACCTCTCACATGTCCCGTGGCCCCATAGGGAGCTCCACCCAAGGCCTCTGTGCCACCATCCACATGCGTCCGCCACACCCCTTTCTGGACACCCCTCACACGCTCCGTGGCCCCATAGGGAGCTCCATCAAAAGCCCCATTGGCACCGTCCACATGCGTCCGCCACACCCATTTCGGTACACCACTCACACGTTCCGTTTGTTGTGGCTCCGTAGCCTTACAGGGAGCCTTACCGAAGGCCCCAGGCGTCCGTTGTCGTGATTCTTTCTATGCGGGGTCCCCGGTGGCTTCCAGTGGTCCCGACAGCTTCCTTATGGCCGGTTTTCCGTCCTCGGTGGAGTTCTGACGGTCCCAGGGGCCCTGCTCCGAGAGAGTGACGGGCGGCACGTCGTCGTCGCCGTCGCCGTCGTCGTCGTCGTCGTCGTCGTCGTCGCCGTCGCCGTCGTCGTCGTCGTCGTCGTCGTCGTCGTGGTCGTCGTCGTCGACGCGTCGTTGTCTGGGGTCGAGGGCCCCGGGGGTTCGGCAGGCGGGGGGAGCGGGAGCGTTCCAGGACGGTCCGGTGGGCCGTCGCCTCGCCGTCGACGCATGTCGGCACGCTCCTCACAGGGTTCGTGGTCCCATAGTCGGGGGCGGAAAAGAGGGGGGTGATGACTAGGGGGGGTGGATATCATGGCGGGGGGCATGATGTTTCCCCAGATGTCATGGCGCCTCTTCTTATTTCGTTACGTCCCTGGCCCCCCCGCTGGGCCGCGCACATGCCGCCGGTCATGATTTGCACCCCCCCCTCTTGGACACCCCCCTCTCGGCCGCTCCCGACATAGGGAGCTCCACCGAAGAAGATATTCCAACTGCTCAGCATCGTTTTATCGATCCCTAACTCCAGCATTGGCGAGGCGTCCTGGCGTGCCTATTGGCCTACCAAGCAATGGTCTAAGAACCTTGCGTGGTTTCCACGAAATGCTCTTAGAGCATGTCTGGTTGTGACCGTTTTGTTTTAACACCTCGGGATCATGTTCTAAGAACACTGTTGTGTTTGGGTCTTTGAACATTTTGGGGTTCTGAGAGAATTCCGTGGTAGGCCTCTTGGGAATGCCAGGACGGTCGGTCCCTACTCAACGAATCCCATCCTGTTCCCTATCCCGATCCCCACCATCTCGTCCCCAAAGTTGGAGATCTACCCTTCGAGATCTGACATAAGCTGCACGTGGAGGAGGAGGAGGAGGAGGAGGAGGAGGAGGAAGAGGAGGAAGAACAGGAGGAGGAGGAGGAGGAGGAGGAGGAAGAAGTATCCCCATCTAGGGGGGTGAACCGGGCAGTGGGGCCCAGGCCACGCGAGTGGGGCCAGGGATCGCATCAGCGATGCTCAACTGCGGTGCTCACAGCCGCAGAGGGTTGGGCCCTTCGCCAGGAGACGTGTTTTTTTGTTGTTCCCCCAGGTCGGCCGGTCGAGTGTCTTTTATCTCGCGGTCCTCTCGCTATGACACCGTGGGTGTGCATGCGTCAGGCGTGCGCGGTCGTGGGCCCCCCTGTGGGCGCAACAGTCCGGCATGTCGCGCCGAAGACCACTCTGGAGACCGCCGAAGGCCGCAGGGGAGCGCAGAAGCCTGTCGGAAGACCGCCGAGGGCCGCCGAGAGCCGTCCGAAGACTGCCGAAGGGCCGCGAAGGCGACCCAGGAGCGATGGGCAGCGAAGGGGTCCACGGTGGAGCGCGCGACACTCGAGATGCGGGGAGGGCAGCCTGATGTTCGTCGTGGTTGTTGGATGTTCTTGTGCACCCTGGGGAGGGTGCCCTTGGATGTTTTGTGTGCCTTGGCCAACGGAGGGTATCATGCTCTTGCAGGATGTTGTTCTGGCCTAGGCCCGGCTGTACACGAGGCGCGAGGCGAGAACCGACGGCAGTTGGCCGCGCGCAGCGTCGCACACGGACCTCCTGCGCGGCATCCCAGGAGGAGCAGTGCCCCGCCCCGCCGCGCAGGTGCGGCTGCGCGACGGGTCAACGCGGGTCGTGCCCGCGAAGCGGGTGCGCGGCTGGAGGAGGAGAAGGAGGAAAAGGGGAAGAAAGAGGAGAAGGAGGAGCAGGAGGCCAGAGGGAGGAGGAGGAGAAAGCGGAGGAGGAGGAGGAGGAGGAGGAGGAGGTCAGAGGGAGGAGGAGGAGGAGGAGGACGAGGGAGGAGGAGGAGGAGGAGGAGGAGGAGCAGGAGGAGGAGGAGGAGAAGGAGGAGGAGGAGGGGGAGGGGGAGGAGGGGGAGGGGGAGGAGAAGGGGGAGCAGGGGGAGGAGGGAGGAGGAGGAGGGAGGAGGAGGAGGAGGAGGGAGGAGGAGAGGTGGAAGAGGAGGCCAGAGGGAGGAGGAGGCCAGAGGGAGGATGAGGAGGAGGAGGAGGGGGAGGAGGGGGAGGAGAAGGAGGAGGAGGAGGAGGAGGAGGCCAGAGGGAGAAGAAGAATGTGGAGGAGGAGGGGTCTTCGAGGAACAAGAAACCCAGACCCACTCGAGTCGTTAGAAAACGCGACGGAAGGTTATCCGCTATTTTCGGCTTCTGGGGGCCCGTACTGGGCCTCGGGGCCGTTGCGCAGGGATTCGGGATGAGAAGCCGGTCTGGGGGAATGGGTCGAGACCTCGGTCTCGGGGATTGGGTCGAGGCCGCTGGGGGTCGACGTCATGGAATAGTCACGACGTCGGGGGTCCGGAAAATGGTATGAAAATGCGTTTTTGCCAGGGGGGCGCCCTTCGTCGTGGAACCTTTGGAAGTCCCCGGGCGCCAGGTGGTCCCAGGCAGTCAGACGCCAGTCGTGGCAAGCGGTGGGGCCTCCCTTGGTCGAGGGACAAGAGAGGGCATGCAACAACATAATGTTGGACAGGGTGACCTCTTTCGAGAAGTAAGAGGCGACAAAATCATGACGTCTGGCCAGGAAGGCATTCTGCATCGTGGAGAACAGTCAACCCGCTTAGTCAGGATAGGCGGCTTTCCAAGGTTACCCTTGCATCCTTCCCCTCCGGCCCATCTCTGGCTGCTTTCGTTGGCCGCGCCCCGCTCGGAAAGTCTCTACATGGCCTTCCAAGGCCCTTGCATCCTTACTGTGCGTCGTTGTCATACGTGTTGACTGGTCAAGCGGTACTGCTCACTCCTGGGGCTCCGTTCCTCCTCACCCTCCCCTACGCCTCCCCCGTGCAGACAACTCTGTTGCATCTGCCAGCGCGTGTGGCTCTTAGAGCTAGCATGTTGAAGAGTCCGCATAAAGAGGCCGCACATAAGTTGCGGTCCTACTCACCCGTGGGTCTCCGCCCCAGACATCTGGCCGCTCCAATTTTTTCGATGCGTGGGCCCCGGAGGTCCAGACCACTTCCCCAGGGCTGGTTTTTCGTCCCGAGTTGTTTTTTCACGCTCCCGAGGCCCAGCGAGGTCCCCTTCAGGCCGGAAACTGCCAAAATTCCACCGGTCCGATTCTTTTTTGGGGGACCGTTGTGTCGCTGGGGCTCCTCCTCCTCGCCCTCCCCTGCGCCTCCCCCTCTACGAGGCCTCCCCTCCTCCACGAAGGCTCCTCCTCTACGAGGCTCCTCCTCTACGTACGAGGCTTCTCCTCTTCGCCTCACCCTCCACCGAGGCCCTTGCTCCACGAGGCTCCTCCTCTTCGCCTCCCCCTCCTGCGAGGGAGGAGGAGGAGGAGGAGAAGGAGGAGGAAGAGGAGGAGGAGGAGTAGGAGGAGGAGCAGGAGGAGGCGGAGGAGGAGGAGGAGGAGGAGGGGGGAATCCTCCTCGCCGAGGCTCCTCCCCCCCCCCTTGCCCAGGTGCGGCGCGCGGCCCGCGGCTCGCCGGGTGCCGGCGCCTCTCCCGCTGCCGCCTCCACGGGGCCCGCCGCCGGCGTCGTCGGCGTCGTCGGCGTGGTGGTCGTCGTCGTCGGCGTCGTCGTCGCCGTCGGCGGCTTCGGCGGCGGCGGCGGCGTCGTCGTCGTTGTCGTCGACGTGTTCGTCGTCGTCGTCGGCGTCGGCGTCGGCGTCGGCGGCTTCGGCGGCGACTGCGGCGGCGTCGTCGTCGTCGTCTTCGTGGTCGCCACCGTCGTCGCGAAAAGTAGCCACGTCTCCGACGAAGTGCCTTTTTTAGCTGGAGTTTTTCTCGTCACGTTGGGCCTGGAGGGACGCGATCGGCCCCCCCCCAAGGACATCAAACATGGATATGGGAAGACATATCCTTGCTGGCGAAGGACCCCACAATATGCAGCCGCGAGTATCGCGAGGCAGGTGAGACGATGGGAGGGGGAGCCACGAAGTGTGCCAGGGGTGTGCCGACAAGGGTGCGGTGCCGTCCGGGGGATGCTGCCACTGGATATTTCGCAGGAGCTCCCTGGGAGGCCCCGGAGCGTGTGAGGGGTGTGCCGCCATGCGAGCGGTGCCGCCATGCAGACGCTGCCACTTGGGCCTTCGGCGGAGCTTCCGATGGGGCCACGGAACGTGTGGGGGGGTGCGGAAGTCGGCGCGGTGCCGCCATGCGTACGGCGCCATTCGGCGGAGCCCTTGCTGGGGCCGCGGAGCGTGTGAGGGGTGTGCCGACCTGCGTGCGGTGCCGCCCTGCGGACGCTGCCATCGGGGCTTGCGGCGGAGCTCTCTGTGGAGCCGCGAAGCGTGTGAGGGGTGTGCCAGGAAAGGCTGCGGTGCCATTGCGCGGACGCTGTCACTGCAGCGTTCGGTGCAGCTCCCCACGGGGCCACGACGCATGTGCGGGGAGTGGGCCCGTCGGGTGCGGTGCCGGCATGTGGACGTTGCCCCATCGGCCGTCGGCGGAGTTCCCCATTCAGTGGCACGATTACCACTTGATCAGGAGTGCGACATGCGGCCTGCATGGCTCTGCAGACATGGGCAGGCTGCGATCTGCGGATCGCTGGATTCACACTGCCGCGTTGGCCCCCCTGGCGTATTCGCTCCGTCCGTGTTCTCGTGCTCGAGCGGCACTGGGTACCGCCTGCGCGTCGACGCGCGCGCTTTCTGGCATCACGTCAGCGCTGCGGGCCTCGTTGTTCTTTGCCACTCGTAACTTTTACGCCCGTCCAGAAGAAGAATTGCGCAATGGCAAGCACGAACTGATCCCCTATATGACACAACTAGTTATGAACATATATATACACAAATTTACACATATATGCATATATATATCTATATATATATATGGTCGCCCCCCCAGTACCCCCAAAGCCAACAAAACCACAAAACGAACCAGAACCAAAACCACAACCATAACCAACGCCAGACCAACCGAAACCAGAACCACAACCAGAACTAGAATAACCAAAACACCATAACCAGAAGCATAACCGTAACCAATGATCGTTTGCTCCTCCTCCTCCTCCTCCTCCCTCCCCTCCCTCCCTCCTTTGCGATTTCAGCAAGGAACCCAGCATACACAGTGTTTCCTTGCCGAGAGTGCCAAACACTTTTTTGTAGTTTTGTTTCTGGGTCAGAGGAGCAAGGAAACTTTGTGTATGTTTTTTAAAGCGCCACAATGCTCGCAGGGGCCTCTCTCCCAGCATGCACTGGTGCTGTCAAAACCCCCCAAACCAAAAAACAGCCAAGCATACACAGTGTTTCCTTGAACCGAGAGCGCCAAACACTGTGAATGATTTTTTTCCGGGGGGGTCAGAGGAGCAAGGAAACACTGTGTATGTTTGTGTTGGTTTTGAAAGTCCCAATGCTCGCAGAGGCCTCTCTCTCAGCAAGCACTGGCGCTGTCACCCCCCCCCAAAAAAAAACATACACAGTGTTTCCTTGCCCCTTAGACCAAATAAACAACATTAACAACAGTACCAACAACAATACACAGTGTGCCCTTGCTCCGAGAGCGCCAAACACCGTGATTTTTTTGGTTTTTTTGGGCTTGAGCACAATCAGCTGCTCGGGTTCAAGCTGTGTGGTGCGTCATATGTGGTGCAATCCTCCTCCTCCTCCTCCTCCTCCTCCTGCTCCTCCTCCTCCTACCTCTCCTCCTCCTCCATGGGGAGGAGGAGAGGGAGGAGGAGGAGGAGGAGGAGGAGGAGGAGGAGGAGGAGGAGGAGGAGCAGCAGGAAGAGGAATATGAAGAGGGGGGAGGAGAGGGAGGGAGGAGGAACGAGGAGGATGAGGAGCATGGGAAGGAAGAGAATGACGATGAGGAGGATGCCCCCCACGAGAGGGAGGAGGAACCATGAGGATGAAGAGGAGCAGGGGGAAGAAGAGAAGGACGCTGAGGGGGGAAGCACCCCTCATCCCCCGAGCCCCCCCCCCCCCGAAAAACAAAACCCTAAAAGCATACAGTGTTTCCTTGAACCGAGAGCGCCAACCACTGTGTATTGTTATGTTTTTTTGGTTAGAAGAGCAAGGCAACACTGTGTATGTTTGTGTTTTGTTGGGGGGGATGAAAGCCCCAATTCTCGCAGAGGCCTCTCTCCTTGCAAGCACTGGCGCTGTCAAAGCCAAACGAACAACAACCATACACAGTGCTTCCTTGCCCCTCAGACCCAACAAACAAAAACACAATAACAAACCTTGCTCCGAGAGCGCCAAGCACTGTGTATGGTTGCTGTTGTTGTTGTTGTTGTTGTTGTTGGTGTTGTTGGTGTTGGTGTTGGTGTTGGTGTTGGTGTTGGTGTTGGTGGTGTTGAACTCTTACTACTGAAGAATAATTATTGTTGATCCCCCCCCCTCCGGCGGACATTGTATTTTTTCAATTGAAGTGCCCCTTCCGGGGCTCGCACCCTGTTTTTTTATCAGGGAAAGTCGTGGGCATCAAACTGCGTTGTTGGCCCCCCGGACAACAACAACAACGGCTCCCGCCTGATACTTCCTCCAAATTTACTCAGGACCCCCGCCCCCGCCTGGGACTTCCTCGCAGTTTACTCAGGCGGAGGCGCTCCCGCCTGAGACTTCCTCGCAAATTACTCCTCACAACACTTTTTCGGGGGTCCTTTCTGCAGGTTCCCGTCGCCACGGCCGGGCGCCGCTCGAAACAATTGTTCCGAGTACACCGCCCAGCCGCCCAGGGACACGTGTGCTCCCGCCTGGGACTCTCCCTCCTCTGTTTCGGGGGCGGGCCCTCCGCCCCCGAGACTGCGGGAGCCTGTGCGGTCTCTCCACGGCCGGTCCCCGGGCGGCCTCCCCGGGTCGGCCTCCCACCTCCCTCCCTCCTCCCTCCTCCCTGCGTCCGAGCAATTGAGACAGTTAGGTGCAGTATGTCACGATGCCGTCAACGGTAACCGTCGTGATTACCTTGATCGAATCACCCGTGGGCTCTGGCCGAAAGTTCGCAGCAAAGCTGAACTGGCCAGAAAGAAGCAGCAGGGTATATAGCTGCTTCCATCGTAACCGACACTGTCGCCATACCCAGAACTCCAGAACTCCCTCCTCCCTCCCCTCCTCCCTCCCTCCCTTCTCCTCCCTTCTCCCTCCCCTCTCCTGCCTCCCTCCTCCGTCCTCCCGTCTGCCTCCTCCCTCCCCTCTCCTGCCTCCTCCCTCCTCCCTCTTGTTTCTCCTCTCTCCTTCCTCGTCCCTCCTCCAAACTCCCTCCTCCCTCCCTTCCTCCCCCCTCTCTCTTTCTCTCCCTCTCTCTCTCTCTCTTTCTCTCTCTCTCCCTCTAAATCGTCCTCCCCCCTCCGCGTCCCGTCCCTGCTAGCATCTTCCCTCCTCCCTCGTCCCTCCCTGCTCCCTTCCCTCCTCCCTCGTCCCTCCGCCCGCCCTTCCAAAGAGAAATAATCCCCCTAAAGGGAGTACGTTCGAATACCAAGAGGGCGGGTATCGAGGGTGTGCCTCGTGATTCATTCAGGATTCACCCTTTAGTCACCCGCCCGCCAGGTTTCGCCCGCCCGATCCGCCTGTTACAGCCCGCCCGTTCGCTCTCTTGGCATCTCGCCCGCCCGCTTTAAGCCACCGCCCGCCCGACCCGCCAGCGAGGGTCCGCCGCCCGACCCGTCCGTTGGCGTCCGCCCGCCCCGCCAGCCCGACCCGCCCCTCAGAGTCCGCCGCTCGACCCGTCTGTCTGGTTCGTCCGTTTGTTTACCTCCTCTTTTGCCCCCCTCCCCTCCTGCTAACCTCTTTCGTCCTCCATCCATCCTCCCCCCCTTGCCCCTTCCCTCCTCCCTCCCTCCCCCCACTCTTTTCCTCCTCGCTCTCCCTTCCTCCTTCCCCCTGCTCTTCCTGTTTTAGGGGCTGCGCCAACTACACGTGGCGAGTAAAACAGATATACCCCCAAAGGGGTATGACCGAAGACGAAGAGGGTGGGTATCGAGGGTTTGGGATTTACATATTGAGTGACGCGCGCGCATATAAGAGCGATCAGTCTTAAGATGATTGTTGTTGTTGTTGTTGTTGGTGTTGTTGTTGTTGTTGTTGTTGTTGTTGTTGTTATTGTTGTTGTGGTTGATGTTGTTGTTGTTGTTGTTGTTGTTGTTGTTGTTGTTGTTGTTGTTGTTTTTGTGGTTGTTGTTGTTGTTGGTGTTGGTGTTGGTGTTGGTGTTATTGTTGTTGTTGTTGTTGTTGTTGTTGTTGTTGTTGTTGTTGTTGTTGTTGTTTGTTGTTGTTTGGGGGGGCTTGAGGAAACAACAGCTGCTCTGGTTCAAGTTGCGTGGTGCGTCATATGTGGTGCAATCCTCCTCCTCCTCCTCCTACTACTACTACTACTACTACTACTACCACTACCACTACTACTACTACTACCACTACTACTACTACTACTACTACTACTACTACTACTACTACTACTACTACTACTACTACTACTACTATTACTACTACTACTACCACTACTACCACTACTACCACTACCACCACTACCACTACTACTACTACTACTACTACTACTACTACTACTACTACTGCTACTACATCTCCTCCTTCTCCTCCAGGAGGAGGAGGAGGAGGAGGAGGAGGAGAGGGAGGAAGAGGAGGAGCAGGAGGAGGTGGAGGATAAGGAGGAGGAATATGAGGAGGAGGAGGAGGAGGAGGAGCAGGAGCAGGAGGAGGAGGAGGAGGAGGAGGAGAGGGAGGAGAAACGAGGAGGATGAGGAGCCATGGGAAGGAAGATAATGACGATGAGGAGGATGCCCCCCATGAGGGGGAGGAGGAACCATGAGGATGAAGAGGAGCAGGAGGAAGAAGAGAAGGACGCAGAGGGGGCAACCACCCCTCCTCCCCCTCACTCCGCCGTTTGGGGGTGCTGGGGGGGAGGGCGAGCATACGCATACATAGACATATATATATGTATACATATATATATACATACATGTATATGCATGTTGGTTAAATATACATATATATACATAGATGTAGGCATTCATCGAACTACAAACATGCATACTTATATACACATACATAGTATGCACCTTTCCGTTTTCAACCTTCTCCGTATAGCCCTTCCCCCCCCCGATTAAGGGAAATGCCACCTCGTTTGGAAGCCTCACGACCCCATTGTCTCTCGCGTGCTCGTGCCCCCCACTCCTGCAGGCCTGGCAGGCCTTTGTCGCCCACTTGCCTGAGCTGAGGCGTGCCGGGGTACGCCTCGCACGGGGGAGCAAACGAACTGTAGTGTGTATCGGGGAAGCGTAAGACTCGAGTACGCCGGAACTCTAGTTTGCCCACGCTTTTTGACGAGCGCGTCCAGGATTCCGACAGTCCAGTTCTCGTGGGGGAGTTTGCAGCGGGAGCTCGCGTCAAATTTCAGGCTCGGTATCATCGTTTTCACGATGGCCCCGTCAGGCCATCCCGAGTCGCCCTGACCCGAGTCCTACGTTTCCCCGAGCGTAGGGATACTGTGATGATCAAGGCGCGCGCCACAGCTGAGGACAGCCGCGCCCGCTGGGCCGCTGGCCGCAGCTCGCGCGCGCGCGCAGCGTCTCACGCCGGAGGCGGGCGGGGGAGGCCAGAGTCAGGGGAAGGAGGGGGGGGGAGGGACGCAGTGCCGCGGGGCGGAGGGAGTCGGCGAGCGGGATGCGGAGAGGGCTGGAGAGAGACGGGGGGAGGGCATGGACCCAGAGAGGCGACCCTCCCCCTCCTCCTCCTCCTCCTACTCCTCCTACTCCTCCTACTCCTCCTCCTCCTCCCCCTCCTCCTCCTCCCCCTCCTCCTTCTCCTCCTCCTTCTCCTCCTTCTCCTCCTCCTCCTCCTCGGGTCGCCTGCGGCCCCGGGGGCAACCGGGGGGAACCGGCGGCGGGATCTGGGCAGTGCTTCCGGCCTCCCGGGACTCTCGCTGGGCCTCGGGAGCGTCCGGGAAAAGACGGCTCAGCGGACGAAGCACCGGCCCTGGAAGGGGGAAGTGGTCTGAGGCTCCGGGGCCCACGCGTCGAGAAAGCTGGAGCGGGGCCAGAGGTCTGGGGATAGGACCAAGTCGGGCACGTCCCTCTACAGGAGGAAGGATTAACAAACAGTCCGAAAATGGTCTGGGAACGTTTTTTTTTATATAGAATTCTTGATTATGGTTGACTATGTTTTGAATCTTTTAATGTTTCGTGCCAAATCCGCCTGTAGGGGGACATGCCCGACCCAAGGATAGGAAGGGGTGCGTGTCAGTGTGATGTTTCAACCTACTTTAGCCTTGTTCACCAAAGAGAATTTCGAGCACCAAGAGATTGCCGAAACTGGGGGGGGGGTCGCGTGTCGGGCCCTGGAAGGCGGCACTCGTTCGACACTGCTTCGATACTTTTTCCGGGTGCTCGAAATTGTTTCTGGGATGTGGTCCTCAAGAACGATGGGAGCAACATAAGGTGTGTGGTGGGGGCGGGGGGGAGCAGGGAGAGAGTTGGAGGAGGAAAAGGTACCGATACCGCTACCCTTCCCTCGTTTTCCCCCTTTGCGGTCCTCCTGGGAGGCCCTCGTCGCCACCGTGATTTCGCCTCGGAATCCTGATCGGAACGCACCCCGGGAGAAATCTGGAGAATATTGGTATCGATACCTTTTGAATTCCTCGGAGAGGGCCGCGGCAGCCGCAGGCAGAGGGGAACAGGAGGGGAAGGTAGGGGTGAAGCGAGGGGAGGTCGATGATCATCAGGACCTGTGTTAGCCCAACATCTACCCCGTTCAGCCCAACTAGTAGATCATTACATCGCCTGCGTCGTATGGAAGGGCCTAGATGGACAACACACACGTTGGGGCTAACACACGTTCTGAGGATCGTCGAGGAGGAGAAGCGGATAAAATTGGAAAAGGGGGGGTGAGGACCTTGAGATTTTGGCGTTGCATTTTTTTACAGCGGGCGTGTTCGCCCAGTTTCGGGCCCCGGGACCCTGACGGATCGATATCGGTCGAAAAATTGCACGGCAAGATTGGGTCCAGGATTCCGATGGCAATTTCTGTGAACCACGACGCTGCATTTGTATGCAACGTCGGATCTGAGTGGGGTGAAGACCGCCCCGCCCAGGGACGTGCGGATTTGGTTTTCGGGGCCTGTCGCCGATCTATCGGCCATGCGTCGCCGATTCCGAGTCGATGGTTCCTCCCTTGAGCTGGTCCACTCCGAACGTTGCCCCCCCTCAGATCCTCCAGAGGGAGGGGGGGCGGGTGGGGGAGGGGGCAGCGAACGACGACGACGACGACGGCGACGACGACGGCGGCGGCGGCGACGACGACGCCGACGACGACGGCGACGACGACGACGCCTCAGACTCGAGCCCAGGAGCGCCCCCCGACTGGAACTTCCAGGCGCATCTGGCCGTGGCGACAAAGGCCCCCCCGTGATGCCCAAACTCGTCCAGAGACTACGGCCCCCTGCGCCTCGACGCCATCTCGAGCCCCCCTTGGCCCCCCGCCTCCTCCTCCTCCTCCTCCTCCTCCTCCTCCTCCTTCTCCCTCCTCCTCCTCCTCCTTCTTACAGCGCATGGACAGCATTGGACAGCATGGACAGCATGGGCTACATTTTGGAGGAAGTATGGATGAATTGGAGGATGATTACGTTTATCACACAACATCAACAATATCCCCGGTGACTGAATGAGCGGCGCCCCGGCGCCACCTCCCAGCCCCCCGCGCGGCCGCCCTTTTGGGCGAACTGGGAGTCGCCTCGCCTCGCCTCGCCTCGCCTCCTCCTCCTTCTCCCTCCTCCTCCTCGTCCTCCTCCTCCTCCTCCTCCTTCTCCTCCTCCTCCTCCTCCTCCCCCTCCTCCTCCTCCTCCTCCTCCTCCTCCTCCTCCTCCTCCTCCTCCTCCTCCTCCTCCTCCTCCTCCCCCTTGGCCATCGTGCGACCTGTGGCCTGTGTGTTTCCTGAGGCTGCTTCCTCGGAGCTCTTGGGCAGGTCCTCTGCGGCTCTCGGGGAGAGGCTTCGGCAAGTTGCGGTGCTGGGGCCGCTCGTGCTTCGACATCTGTAGTGCCCGTCGGTGCCTTGCGCAGCACTTTGCCATGCGTGTACCACGCTCCCAAACATGCGTCGCCCTGGACAGTCCGCGGGCCCGCGGGCGCGGGGCCGACGCGGCCGGCGCGCCCTCGGGGGCGCCCCGCGGGGCGCCATGAGCAAGCGCCCCGCCGAGGGCGCGGATGGCGGCGGCCAGGCGCGCGAGCGCGGCGCGCCCGCTCCGGATCGCCGTCGCCGTCGTCGTCGTCGTCGTCGTCGTCGTCGTCGGCGGCGGCGGCGGCGGCGGCGGCGGCGCCGCCGTCGCCGTCGCCGTCGCCGTCGCCGTCGCCGTCGCCGTCGCCGTCGTCGCCGTCGTCGCCATCGCCGTCGCCGTCGCCGCCGTCGGCGCCGAGGGCGCGGAGGGCCCGAAGTCCCCGCAGAGCTCGGCGCGGCAGCGTCTGCACAGCGGGCGCTGTCCGCCCAGCTTCGGGGCCCGCCGGGGCCCTCGCAGATCGACCCAGCTCGAATCGGGGAGGAGGAGGGGGAGGAGGAGGAGGAGGAGGAGGAGGAGGCGGAGGAGGAGGAGGAGGAGGAGGAGGAGGTGAAGTCGAGGCCGAAGAGGCGGGGTAAACACACGATCGGAGCTCCGCGCGGACCTGTTGGGTCGGCATCGGGCCCCCTGGCAGCGCCTCCTGCGCCGCCTCTGGCGCGTTCCGCTCGCCCAGGGAGGGGGAGCGTAAGACCCGGGTTTGCCAGGACTCGGGTTCGCCACCGTTTTTTGACGACCGCGACTCGGATGTTGACGAGGAGGAGTTTCGTGGGATGTCTGCCGCGGGAGGCCTCGTCAAAATGCAGGCTCGGCCTCGTCATTTTTGTTGACGACCTCGTCGGGGATTTCCGAGTCCCCCGTAACCGGGTCTTACGTCTCCCCGCTTCGGGGCCCGCCGGGGCCCTCGCAGATCGACCCAGTTCGAAGACGGGCGCAGGAAGATTCAAGCAGTGGCGAAGCGTCCTGGCGCGCCTATATAGGCCCGCCAAGCAGTGCTCTAAGAACCTTGTGTGGCTTCCGCGAAAGGTTCTTGGAACATGTCTGGCTGAGTCTGTCTTGGTTTCACACATCGGGGTGATGCTCTAAGGACATTTGTTTTTCTTGTTCGAACATTTCTGGGTTCTAAGAGTCGTGGCAGGCCCATCGTGGACGGCCGGTCCCGGTCTCCGCTCGCCCCCGACGTCGTGCCCTGTACGCCGCGGGGGAGTCTGGGTCTCTCGGGTGGGTTCGGAGCAGATGGGGTCGGAGGATCTCGGGGGCGGCAGAGAGGGGGGTGATGGCTAGGGAGGGGGTGGATATCATGGCGTGGGCCATGATATTTCCCCAGATTTCATGGCGCCGCTTCTCATTTCAGTACGTCCCTGGCCCCCCCCGCTGGGCCGCGCACATGCCGCCGGCCATGATTTGCACACCCCCCTCTTGGGCACCCCCCTCTTGGCCGCTCCCGAGGATCGCGCCGCATCGACGATGGATGCATCGGCAATGCGGCTCGATGTGGAGCCCGATGTTCTCCACGCTGACGGCGCCGACGTCGCCAGCGCATCGCTAATGCATCGCCATTCAATGCGTCGCCGATGCATCGGCGATGCGGCGCGATCCTCCGACCCCAACTACTCCGACCCCTATCTAGGAGGCTTCTAGCAACGGGTCCTGAGGGCAACGGGTCCTGAGGTTTTTTCTCCGTTTGTGGGCCTCCTGGGGTCTCCACGGGCCCCGGTGCTGTCGGAGCACGGTTCAGGATGAAGAAGTGGTCTTGGTGGAAGGCACCAGTGTCCAGGACCCTTCTCCCTCAGGACTCGCATCCCCCATGCGAAAGTCTCTTCACACTGCGGGCCCCCGCCCGAGTCGATGTTTTGACGGGCCCTGAGCGGTTCCCAGAGGCCGACGGGGCTGGCGAGCACCCTCTGCCGTTGCTCGTGCCCGACGATGTGGGGGCGTCTGGGCTGCGCGGGCAGTGGGCTGCGCGGGCGGCGCCCGCCCCCTCGGAGCCAGGGGCTCGGGGTCTCCCAGATGGGGTCCGAGCAGATGGGGTCGGAGGATCGCGCCGCATCCCCGATGCATCGGCGACGCATTGAATGGCGATGCATAAGCGACGCGCTGGCGACGTCGGCGCCGTGGGCGTGGAGAACATCGGGCTCCACATCGCGCCGCATTGCCGATGCATCCATCGTCGATGCGGCGCGATCCTCGGGAGCGGCCAAGAGGGGGTTGCCCAAGAGGGGTGATGGGCTGGTTTTCCACCACCACCACCACAAGTTGGAGGGGGAGGGCGTCCTCTCCTCCTCCTCCACCTCCTCCTTCTCCTCCTCCTCCTCCTCCTCGTCCTACTCGTCCTCCTCCTCCTCCTCCTCTTCGCCTCCTCCTCATCGTCCTCCTCCTCATTCCCCCCTCCAACTTCTGGCTGGTGGTGGATGGGGTCAGAGGATCGCACGGCGAAGCACGCGAGATCGTGGTCCGCTTCCTCAGCATGCCTCACCACCTCCTGCTTGATTAACTAGGTCCTGCCCTCCTCCGCGGCCGGAGCAGCGCCGCAAGTGTCGGGCGGCGCTG